ATTGATTATATTCTTTCCTAACTCTATAAATAGAGTGTTTTTCTCCCATTCCAAAAACATCCCAAGTCAGTCTTCTCTCTTTTTCTTTTCTTCTTTTCCTCTTCTAAAATTATTCTGGGTTTATTCTTATACTCTCTTTAGAGTTCCTTGCTAGTTCTGAGATCCTCAGAAATTCTGAGAAGTTCCTGTTGTATCCTGGGGGGCTTGCGCAATACACCGCGGATAAGTCCTTAAGGACAGTGATCTACACGCCTCAGGAAATTGCGGTTTGAGTATTAGTCATTATTTTTACTACATTGATTAGCAGGATCTTTTAAGCAAGTTGTTTAAGATACTAGACGTAACCTCAATGTGTGAGGTAAATCAATATAACTTTATGTGTGTATTGTTTCTTTAATACTCTTACTTTGATTATTTTACACTCCTTTTTAGAATAACCATCTTGCATCAACATAGATGCTTTTTACTTTACACATTCCATTAAGAAAATCTTAAAACTTGTTAACCACCTAGATAAGTTTTCTTAAGAATCTCAAGGTTTGCGAGAAGAGAAAAATAATCCTATTTAAAGAGACTAAATTAAGTTAAATAATAAAAAACATGCAAGAAATATATGTAAATACATAAATTGTAACTATTTAAGTTCGTTGAACAAACGAGTTCTCTGAATATTTTTTTAAAATTGGTTTAAATTTTAATAAATATAAAAAGTGTTTGATTTTCATAAGTTTAATATCAAGTTAAAAATGTTTTACTTGAGTAATGAAATCTTCTTTTGTATTATTTCCTATTCTTTATTTTCAGTAAATCCTTCCTCATTCTTATATACATAGAGTAATAATCAATTAGTTCAAAATCATTATAAAACAACTTTACATAAATAATCATGAATATAATTAATTATCACATGTTCTAAGTAGCACAATTAATTGAATAAATGAAAAATAATCTATTGCATTTTTTCAGTATTATTTCTCAAAACAACATAGAATAATATAATCAATTATCAATAGATATATTTGATTAATTTATCTATGAAATGTTTTCCTCACACATATTTCAAAGTTCTTTTTAAACATCAATCTTTCGATAATTTTTATTTCACACTTTCAAGAAATGCTCCACGATGCATACAATTCATAACTTTTGTTAAAATCCTCAATCAAGACTATTCATCGTGTATTTAATTATTTACTCTTTGATCTAAATTTTTGTATACTCATCATATAAACAACATAAATCATACGATTACATTATACTATATGACTTTTGTTACTCCTTGTAAGGTCTAAAACGTTATTCAAGTGATTTGTCCATATCTTGTTAATTACATGTTTCACATGTTTAGTGTGGTTCCTATTTTGTTATAATCTCTTTGAGTATTTATACTGAATGTAGATTAGTCTAATTTAAATTAATTAGTATAAAATCTATTTTTCCTTATATTTTATATATCTTGAATATGTACGTATATGCATGAGTCTCATTGTCAAAATAAATTGTTTCAAGAAAACATGGTAATTGATCAAGAAAGCTCGAAACCACCAATTCTACACCTTCTTATTAATGTAAAACCTTAGTTTCTTTACAATTAGTCTTGAAGCTCGGTTTTCATAGTCTTTCAAAATAAAAGTTCTTATTAGGATAATTTATACCATGTTGTTCTTGTTTTTTTATTCAATTTCTATTTCATATAAAATGTTTTAGTTGTTGGTAAGATGATTTTGAACTAATTAGAATAATGACTTTTATGGAAAAACTCTTCAATAAATCAAGAACAATTTAAATTCATGTAACATTAAAAAAAGTTGTAATTATTGATGGACGAAATTGATGAGTAATAAAAAAAATTATTAGTAATTCAAATTTACTACGGATTACCAATGACAAAAAAGTTATTGATAAAGTGGTCATTTTATAGATGAATTGGTAGATTTGTTGGTAATTATCATAATCATGAATTCGTTGTTAATTATCGACGAATTTTGACTATTGGTAAAATTCGTCCATAAATATTGCGATTGGTCTTCTTCTTTTTCCTTTTCTTCTTCTTTTCCTTTTTCTTTCTTCTCCTTCCTTCTCCTCCACGACCAACATCACGCCTTTATTGCCCCTGCCTCTAGCTCCTTCTTCTCCTTTCTTTTTTTCTCTTTCTCATGTTTTTTCTCTTTATCTTCCTCCTCTTTACATCCTCTTCCAACTTTTGGTTGCCACTATTGTTGTCATCATGCTCCACAATCGTCGTGCCTTTGTTATCACTACTAACTCTAGCTTCTCCTTTTCCGCTTCCTCTTTCTTCTCTTTTTCTTGACACCCTTCACTTCTTATAAACTTTTTGCATAGATTTGACGAGAAATTTACCGCTCAGGTTGAACGAGACTTAGCGCCAAGACACAACTTCGTTCCAAAAAAGCTGCCTACCAAGGGCAATGATCTCTCTCCCTTACCTTGACGACTCTACTTGTGAGATCGGGTGGATGAGGACTTATCTCTTTGACAATGAGCCCTCTTTTTTTTTCTATTTATTTTGCTTAGGATGAGAGGGAGAGGGAACGACCATTAGAGGAAAAGCCTTAAGAATAAATTGTCGTATCTCCTCAACATCAATAATTGCGAGAGGGTGTTGTGCCTACATAGGCACATCTACGGCTCGACTACTAGCTGAAGCTACACTCCGCTCAATTGATCCCTGACTATCCAATGGGGATATAAAAGATGATGACAACGAAACACCATTTGTGTACCTCAACCGCAAAACTCCTCAAACAAAGAAAGGCGAATGGTAGACATTATTACCTTAAGCGAAAATTTCAATCAAAAAAAGTATAGCAGCAAGGAAGAAAGATGAAAATGATGGACCAACCCCACTATTATTTATAGAAGGGGATAACCTAACCATCACACAATCTGAACCATTAAATCTACTCGCATTCGATAGTTGAAAAACTTAACACTTCACATTACCCATCAAGGTGATGACACACTCCTGAGGCATCCCAACCCTTTGACCCTAACGATCACCCTTTGCATATAGCTTTTGCTAATGCTTGGGCTTGGGGCTTGTATACAATATAGACCGATCGGTTGAAACATCTAAACGACAACGTTTCCTAACTAATTAGTTAAACATCCCTTATTATACCAATTTTCACTAAAACTTGCCAATCATAAGTAATGTCAATATGACGATCAGGATGGCCAGCCAATAGAGACGAACCTGAACAACAAAACATTTAGTGCAAAACAAGTTAATAATTAAAATTAGAGTCATTAATCGAGTTTCAGCGCATTTGACTATAATTACACCGACTTTAAACAAATATTCACAAAAAAACTATAAATACAAATGTAGGTAAAATTATTGATTATTTATTTATTACAACATTTATTATTTTAGCAATTAAACTTGAACTGAATTTAACATCGAAACATCTTTAACTAATATTTCAAATAAATTAAGATGCACAATAACCCTGATGTTAAGACAAGTATCATATAGTAAATTTATATAAATGCCGATTCCGTTTACATACAGGAAATATATATATATATATATATATATATATATATATATATATATATATATATATAATGGATGGACACTTTTCGTTTTCTGATGGCTTGAGGAATATTTCTATTTCACTTTAAGTATCTATAAAAGTGTTGAAAATGATGAAGACAGTATGTTAAACAACTATTTAGTGAGAACTACAATGATTTGTTATGCACGTGAAGTGAAATAATAATATTCATATACGTACGGAATAAAAAAAGTCGACCACAAAATATCAGAGTATTATTCTGAAGTTTTTTAGTTCACAAATAGTGTATATCCAAGAGGATATATTTCTACGTATCAATTGGCCCCCTCTTCAATTTTTTTCCACTAACAAAAGCACCAACATTGGATTCTTGTCTTTTTCTATCCTCTTCCATGCATAGGATATATTTCTTTCAATTAATCATTTTCTTTGCTATAATCAATTTCATAAGAGCAGAAAAAATTAATTTTAAAAAATGGTAACATCTACCTGTAATATTTATTTTATTTTTTACTTGTTAGTATCTTATTCCTTTTTCTATATATAAAGTTAGTCAAATTATAAATTTTCAAAGTACTTTAATTATATTTATGACACGTGTATCTTCATCTACAGAACCTATATAACACATTACTTTCCATATTGGGTCTCCTTTCCAAATTCTTCAATTATTAATCTGACAAATGTTCAAACTCGTGCCACTAGTACATGTCAAGAGAATATGCACATTATCCACACTTAGCAACTCTAATGTGCTCCTGTGTTTCTTGAAAATTATATGGAATTATGAATTTATCACTATCGCATTTTCTTAATTATATGGATATTGTTCGAACTTTGTTTCTAATATGAAGAATCTTTATATTAATTTAATATAACTAATACTAGGAGTGATATTTGATTTTCAAATTATATATAAGTCAGGCAAATTTTATAAAACAATAAAACTAGTTTTTTCAAATATACAAAGAGGGAATAGATTAATTAAAGAAAATTAAAAAATTAATTTAATACACTTTTGCTTCCAATAAGAAGGGTAAGTTTTGATTTTAGTTTCTAAAATCTTTTTATTTATTTTTTCTTCTAAAATTGAAAATTATCACTTATCTTTTTATATATATTACATTAATTAACTATTTAAGTTGAAGGAGGGTAACTTATCACTTTCTAATGAGGTATCCTAGTACATAATATAATTTCTATAGGTATATTTTAAGAAAAAATGTTAAATATATTTAGTCTCTTAATTTTTATGCCAAATTATATTTTGTTGTTATTCTAAACTTTGAATAACTTTCATTTCAAAACTTTATTAATGAATGGACGTAGTTTTTACTATCAAAAGACGGGAGTTGCTCCCTCCACCCCCACACATCTCTTCCTCCACCTCCCCTTTACTTTTTTGCCTCTTCCTTCATTTTTTCTTTACTATTTTGTCCCTCATTAAAAGTATAAGTACTAAGATCAAAAACTAAATCTAACCAGAGCTATCACATGGTCGCATTCTTCCTCCTTCAAGAATCCCTTGTACAGAAAAGCCCTGCATGATATAATTCACAAAAATTCAACAACAAAAGAAAATAAAATCGACCCATTTGTCTAACAAAGGAAAAGGTCAAACCTGGGATTCCATGAGAGCTGAGTGACCCGTGTGGGATCAAATTTCACTGAACAGACTCCTTTGTTCAACCCAAGCCCCGATCCATGGCTGAAAACAAACACCCACAAACCAAAACATAAAAAAATGTAAAATTTTAAACTCATTCACGGGCAGAGAGATACCCATATGGCAAAAGTGCATTCAGAAATAAAATTATCATCATCATTACGTGGCCTTGGCTTCTTTGTCCACACCAGGCAACCGAATGGAGGAAACAGAGATCTCAAAACAGAGGAAACAGAGAAAGAGCGACACGAAACGGCTAGAAACCATGGTGAAAGGCTTTTTCGGTGGGCAATCTGAGAAGAGTGTTGAAATTTATGCAATGTAATAAAAGAGTTGAAAGTGAAAATGTGGGCGTTTTTTAAATCTCGGTTTGTCGTTTTCAGAGCAATGAGGATTCTACGAAACGCCCACTGGTTTTGATTTGGCTTTCTACTTCCTCTGTCTGTTTCTAATGTGTGCTTAAACCCACCTTCTCGAACCTTCGTTTATAAAACAGTGTGACATCACAAAACGGATGTCGACATCCGTTTCGCCTTAAACGGATGTCGACATCCGTTTCGCCTTAAACGGATGTCGACATCCGTTTCGCCTTAAACGGATGTTGACATCCGTTGAAGGATGTCATCCGTCCAGAGGCAGCGTTGCTTTTTCGTTTCGTTTTTATTTTATTTGTTTATTTTATTTACAGTAATTTATATTTAAATTTATAATTTTAAATGTTATATATGAACGGCCTCCACCGCACCAATCACCAACGGTCCGCAAATGCTCTCCCGGAAAATGAAGAAGAAAGAAATGGAGAAATAGAAGTGAAAGGTTGATGAGGCTTGAAGAGAAAATGATAAACGGAAATGGAGAAATGGAGAAGAAGCTTTACAGAAGAGAGAAAATTGAACTAAAATGGAAGAGAGGAAGAGTGCAGAGAAGTAAATCAGAAGTTTTAAATAAATTAAAATAATAAAAATTAAAAAATTTTAACTTTTGAGGATATAATTGTCATTTTAGAAGGATATAATTGGCATTTTAGAAAATTGGGGAGGTGGAGGAAGAGATGTGTGGGGGTGGAGGGAGCAACTCCCTCAAAAGACATTAAAGATTTACGTATTGACTAGATTATAGGTAGAGTTGTCAAAATGGGTCACCCGATCCGATTCGGCCCGGTCCATCATGGGTTGGTCACTTAGTGAGCTAATCCAAACCCTACTCATTTATTAGCGAGCCAGAAAAATTCGAACCTGGCCCGACCCACCACAGGTTGGTAGATAAACAGGTTAACTCACTGGCTCACTTAATTACAATTTTTTTTAAAATAAAAAAATTACAAATTTTCTATAATTCAAATCTAAACAAATTTCACTCCATGGGTGTTTAACTAATTTTCAAAAATAAGGAACTTAAATAATTTTTTCAAGCAAAAAATAATAATAAATATTTTTTTATAAAATTAAAATTAAATTTTAATAAAATAAAATTAGGTAGATGGGTTGGTGGGCTAACCCGGCCCACCACGGGTTCAACCCACATGAACCGAGTTTAAATGAGCCGGGTTGAAATCTGACCTGCATAAAAAAATACAATTTTTCAAACTTAACCCGGCCCGAACTCGTGGTGGACCGAGTTGGCTCGCAGGTTGTGACCCATTTTGACAACTCTAGGTGACAAAGTTGGTTAGGCCGACGACTCAGCCTACCAACCTAACAAAAAATAGATGGGTCGGTTTATAAATTTCAACCACCAACCCGTTAGGCTAATCCGCAACTTGTGGCGAGCAAACCTACAACCCGTTTATGAAAGAAAGACACCCCTTTTATTTCTTGCCTATGGAAGTAGTGACGTGTGAGCCCTCTCCTCCATTGTCCATGCTTGGGTTCAACCATCATGCACACATTTTCTTTCCCTTCCGTTTTATGTTCGCCATGGTTTCAAAGTGTTATCTCTGTCATTATTCAAGCTTTAGTAGACCAATCTCGAAAGCATAATTTTTTCTTCATTAATGCTTTTATGGACCTCCATCTCTTCTTAAAGTTAATTGATTTAGGTGGAAAATTAAGATTACATAATCTCTTATTAAAGCAATTTGTTTGGCGGAAAATTAGGATTACATCCCTAATTTCCTTTTCTAATATTCTCTTCTCAAAGCCATTTGATTTGAGGAAATATTAAAGTTATATTCCTTCGTTATTCTTCTCTAATTTATGTTCATTTGATTTGGGTCGTAACATTAATCTTAGTGTTGGAATCATGAAGCAATGACATTTGGGTGGAACAAAGTGTGCGTGTTTGCATCTTTCGTTGTGTGCATTTGTGTCTTCCTATAGTGTGGTTCTAGGTAGGAGGCTTTGGTGATGGTGGGATTCAAGGGTGGTTTTCTTTGGTGGTGTTTTATTTTTCGATGTTTGTTTTCGGTTGTTGTCTTTAGATGCCATAGATGTTATCTAGTTTGCATCATAAGTACACCTAACATGAATATGCCAAAGAGTTCATTGAAAAATGACGGACCAACCCGCTAACCCGTCATATAAAAAGACAGGTTACAAATTTCAACCCGTATTGACTGGCTAGCCAGCCCAGCCTTGCCCACTTTGGACATACTAGAAGCAAGGGGACCAAAATGTATTAGGCTGATCCGTTTTGTTACTCCTAAACTTGACATATAGATGTCAATACGTGAAAACACACATGACAATACTGTACACCACATCAACAAATCTTTAATATTGTTCAATTATGAAAATTACATTCATTCTTAATAAAGTAAGAAGATGGAAATTATTCAAAGTTTGATAGAGACAAAATCTAATTTCACATTACAAAAAAAATTTAATCGAGAGAAAAATATATAAGAATTTGAACTAAAAGTTTTTTATGGAGAATTTTGAAAAAAGATATTATTGAAGTGAGTGATTTAATGGGATGTATATGCATGTTGTGTTGTAGCGAAAATGTAAGTAAGAATGTTGAGAAACAATACGAATAATTGGGAGCACATACGATGGTGAAAGTGTTGCGTGTGCCTGTCATCTTCTTTACAACTTGGTAACCAATCAGGTTTGGGACCATTCAAGGAGTGGTAAAGGACCGTTGTCTTTGCGGAACTTTTTCTATGAGGCACAATCCAAAACTATGAAACTACTGGCTTCAGACTAAGAATCGCTAAAAGAAAATCATTCCTTCTCATGACCAAACTTTCTCACGACACATAATTTTTTACTAACACTTGTAAATTTTCTTTTAAAATGTTAAACTTTTGACCAATACAAATGTACATATATTTGTGATGAGAATATGTAATTCTTATTCGGATCAAATATCCAAACAAAATAATGAGGTTAGACATGCCATGTTTGATAAGAAGAGTATAAATTAAATGTTATACATATAATAATTGTCTCCATGTTATTGTTTATAGTGTAACTTATGATGATTATTCTTTCATGAAAATCATCAAATAAAAAAATCTCTTCAAACGGAAACATATTATACATAAAGATAGTATAAAAACACATTATAGATTGAATGTCTTTTGGAACTTCAAAGATTATATATGTATAAATATTGAACAAAAGTATTATTATTTAATATTAAATTCTTCTAACCAAAACTCTAAATTTTTTTATACAATTTTTTTATGAAAGTTTCAAACTTTTTGTTAACGAAAATTACAAACTTTCTAATACAATTTTTTTTTAACAAACCCACCAATGCTACGTAACTACCAAGTCTTCTATATCCCAAAGACTCTCCATATAGGTAAGAGACTTATTTATAAATAATCACTTGAAAGCCAATGCCAAGGCTAGAGTATTTTAGATGTAAATTATTGAATTGTCGTTTTACAAATTATCTAGAGTATTATTACAAATTAATTATTAAAATCTTAATTGATTGGAACACAAAATTAGAATTCCAAATGAGAGAAGTGTGCTGGTTCTTAAGTGATTATTTATCAAGTTTCACATAGAGTAATATTAAACCCACCAATACTACATCACTCACTCTCTTCTTAATCATAAATGTCATTTTATAATTGCCTTTCCATCCATTCATCCAAGTATCTTTTATTGACTTCTTCAGATTTTTTTTTTCAATTTAAGACTTTCTTGATGATGTTGATTTTTCTTAAATTTTCTTTGAGATTAACCTCGTGGGTTTATTTATTTTAAGGTTTTCTCAAGGATGTTCGACTTCAACGATTATTAAAATGAGTTGTTAAAGTGGATATTTTTCTTGTGTAAATTTTTCAAAAGTATAACTTTCTATATATATAGATTTTCATGAACATACCATATTCAAAGGAGCCTATAGTAGAAAGTAGTAATAAGATAACTAAAATATAAATAAAGACAATGATACTTTTATATCATAATTTTTTTTACTCTCATTTGATACTACTCCTCACTACCTTTTACTCTATTTTTTCCTTTAAAAGTATAAAAGTCAACTTTTTGTTAAAATTATTTTATTTCTATAAAAATTCTCGAATGGTAGTCAAATGTCAAATAATATGTTTTTTCTATAAATAAAGACACAAGGATATGGACATTTGACAAAACACAATGTATATGTCATGTTCTCTGTCTCTCTCTATATATATGAATATGACAAAACACAATATGGACATTTATGGTACTGTTCACTAATTTCTTAAATTTGTATACAAGTATATATTCTTTAATTTGATTTTTACTCAATTAATTTGGAGATTTTTCGTATGCTTTTCTTTAATTTATATCAAACATCTCCATTGAAATCAACTCACAGCGCATTCAAATATTAATATATTTCTAGGTTTTAATTAAGTTATGCTAAGTGTATGAAAATATTTGATTTGATTCTTCAATTTCTTTGAATTGAAAACGTAAGTTGCTGGTCAAAATAAAAGAATTCCCCAAATTTGTTTGTTTTTTTATGAATGAAATTTTTGTTTTTTGTTCATACCAAATTTCATTAAAAACACCCCTAATTGCCACAAGAGTTTTGGCTCACAAATTTCTTCTATGGGTATCGTTTTTGTGTTTTTTACTACCTTTTTTTTTGTATTTAAAATTATAGAATCTCAACTATAGGTTGACCTCCATGAATCCATATAGCTGGTCACATTAAAAGTTTATAAAAAAAATGAATGTGAGTGGACCAACAATATACAAACCTAAATGTTGGTAACCTAGAATAAAGTTTTGTATAAACCTTTTAAAATATTTAACACCTTGTACATATTTTAAAAAGAGATTAATCCTATAAAACAAGGTTTTAAATTAAACAAAAGTTATGAACACAAAAAACACATTTATAAGTTCAAATTTTGAAAGAATTGCCTTATAGTGCAAGGGATCTATCTCTTTAAGAAATAACAAAAATTTTCAACCAAAAGGACATTGTTCATCATACCTCTCACTCCCCCAACAACTAGGTTGTCTTAAACCTCAAAAATATAGAAATATCCTTTTAGACAATTAATGAT